TGCCACTGTTAAAACAAGCACCGGGAATTATGGTAAAAAAATGGGTAGCTATGATATCCAGGGGGCTTTGTTATGCCATTAAAGCTCTGGTGTGGGACACCATGCACCTTCACTAAAATATTTTAAGTCAAAATAACCAACATGCATGCTATATATGTAGCGCATAGGTACTTGTAAATTCTTAGGTGCTCCCTCCCTCTCTTTCATTTCTGTGCCCTTCTTGTCTAGTCTCTGAAAACCAACAATATTCCCATCAATCCAAGATGCTTAGGAGTGCTACTCCAGACGTGGACCATCCACAAAAAGCCCTCCAAATGAAGCAAGATGACAAGTTTTTCTCCAGGCTTATGTCCAAAGAGAACTCCATGGCTAATCCTTCATTTAGAGTGTACTATGGTGGAGTATCTGTTGCTGTCCCGTTTGTGTGGGAGTCTCAGCCTGGTACCCCCAAGTACACATTTTGTGAAAAAACACTCCCTCCTCTAACTCCACCTCCCTCTTACTATACAAATTCTAATAAAAAACCAACCAAGAATCACTCAAGATCCAATCTTTTACGCTTCCTGTTCCCAAGGAACAATCTCAGGAAAACCAATGTGTCCTCTTCAGCAACAAATCTGTCAACAAACCCATCTTCTGCATCATGGTCATCATTGACTTCACCGAGTACTCTTCTTTCTTTGAGCAATCCAAGAAAGTACCATGAGAGGAGCGAGTTTTCTAGCCGTGGATCATCATTTGATTCAAGGGTTTTTGATGATTTTGAAGAATCACACAATATGGGATCATCACCTTCTTCAAAATTGTGCTTTGGCATCAATGGGAGAAGTACTAGTACTGGTGGGCTTCGAGGATGCTATGGTGTGTGGTAATCAATGGTTAGTCAACAGTGTTTTATCTGGCCTAGCTAGGTACTGCCCAGAAATTCTCAACAAGTTTATGCTATATGTTTTTAATCTTTGTTGGTCTTAATTTTTCTATGGTTGTGTGGCATGAACAACCAAAACTAATGAGATGTATCTTGAATGTTGTCAAAAACATAGCTAGTTTATTTTGCTATTGTGATGTATCTACTTAATTCAGCATCTCAGTTATTAGAACTTCATCATCATCCTCTTCTTCTTCTAAATTTAGTGAAACTTCAAGAAAATGAAGTTCTTGAAAGTCTGGCTGTTTAGAGAAAAGAAGTAGATGCGATGCTCTTGTCTGCACTGTTGTTGATCGAATTGCCATTTTGAGGGGCAAGAATTACCGGAGTCATTCTTTTATCATTGCCTTGTAGTTCTATCAAGTGACCAAAATACACTTACATGTTGTGCACGAAATTATTAGCTGCCTTACTCGGTCATCTAGCATCTCTAATTGCTTATTAATTTGTATGACAAAGCATTGCCTTAGTGAGCATGGACCTCTACACTACAAGAACAGAATTGGTTGGACACTAGCATTTTTTTGGAAGATACTTGTCACATAGTAAGGCGGGGAGCAGTTCGAAATTGATTGCTGAAAAACATTTTTGTTAGATGTTTCTGTCTGTCCCTTTCTCTGCATGTGTGATTATTCAATGCAAGGAGGAAAGATTGGTGCAGTTTCCTACCAAGATAATTAATTTCACTAGAGCATCTCTTGGCTCTGAGTTGTCTCTGTCTCGTATAGAAATCTTGTCTTGTTTTGTAAGATGATGAAATTGAGCTCCTGCCTGTCTCTAAATAAGATCAATAAATGAGTTGCTTCACCTACCACGCAATTATTCAATCAAATATCGTTTCATGTATGCTCAATCCTTGTTCATCTTGTCTAGTTTATGAATTATTGATCAACTGCTTCAGACATGATCAGATCTTGCTCATGTAATCCAAAAAGATAAGCGTATACAAAGCAAAATCAGATGGAATACAAAGTTCAGGGAAATTTCTTTCATAACCTTGACTCATGGACAGTTCTTTCCTAGAGAAGTTCAATTAGCCAATATTACGGTCCAAAGCATATGTGCTGTTAAGAACCCGGAGACCAAAAAGAACAAAGAAAGATGTACTGAAGGTTCTCCTTTTGTTCTTTCTCGTGACCAGCAAAGATGACCACGTGAGCCTGAAGAAACTCACATAAAGAAGATTCCGAAAAGGAAATCCAACAAATAACAAATACTTATTGTATTGCTCAAGCTTTGCTTGTTTCCAACTTGTCGGCAGTTCAGCCTGCTAGCATCTTGAGCGTGTTTCACAGGTCCATATTTTCTATGGCGTTTGGTCTAGATTTTCCATGCTTCAAACTTTCTGATGCTTTACCCGATTATAGTAGCTAGGCTCTTTTAGTTGCTTCAGAAGCAAACCATTATTCATTTTCTGTTGTTTCTCAATGAATGTCTGCAATATCGACAAGAAGCGAGATTCTAATAAATTAAAAGCAACCTATAGAGTCTTTATATAATAATTAATTGATGAAAAACTAGCAAGAAATCATCAAAAGTTCTAATAAAGCAGTTCTGTTAGAACTCAGAAGCTTATATCGGAGAGAGACATGAACAATTACATAGATAGATACTGTGTTAAAATGTAGACTGATATTCACATGGTCATTAGAACAGTTTAAGACAGATTCAAGGCTGAATTTTTTACTCTTTCATGGTTATCATCACTTAACTAGTCTTTTGATAACACAAAAATTGAGCATCAATCCTTATGAAGACGGTTAAAGAGAATCAATGCTTCCTAACCAAATTTAGTTACTTCATGAATTGCATTTGCTAAATAATTCACATGACCAGTGGTAACGCCAGCCATGCTGCACAGTACAAGGACAGTCATATCAGATAGCTCATGTTATTTCTTTACCTCCTGCAATTGATATAACGAAAATGAAAAAACAGCTCACACTCATTCAATTAATTTGATTTATGTATTTTTCAAAGAAAAATTTACCTCATACGTCCATTTCAAGTCATGTATATGTGAACTTCCCTTACCAGCCGATCAACCTGTTCAGGGTTTAAACAAGACAAGCAAAACATCCCAACCTGCAATTTGGTAACTTGTCAGCTGAATGTTTAAAGTTAAATGCTCAAGTTTAGGTTCTCTTTTTCTTTATTTCAAGCACACTCCACTTGAAGTAATATGAATGGAGCTACAACGAAAAGCAACGAACCTGGTTAGTTACATGTTCCCAGCTGAGTGAAGAACCCAATTGCTCAAGGCTTTCCCGCAAAGTAGTCCACAGACTTTGAATCCCATGATCTTCTTCTTCAGGTAAGATCAGAAGAAATATTTACATTGCCCTGCCAATCTGCTGCAGTTGACTTTCAATTGCAACTGCTTGCTTTGCATCATTGCAGAGGACGCTGAAAGAAGCAAATGTAGCCTATATCGTAACTCAAACCTAAAGAGGAGCAAGGATGGTTAGAGGCAAGGACTGTAAAAGGTTATCTGAACATCAACCAGATTGAACTATCAGACTATCATTCAAGGCAGTGAAGATAACTCGGGGATGGCTTAGGACTTTGTCAATTACATTCTCTGGTTTTGTTTGCTATTATAGGCTTCTCACTATTCATAATCTATAATTATCTCAACTAGGTGCAAAAGCTAACGTCTCAATTAGCTACCTGCTCTAATAAATCATGAATAAAACCAACTATTCCAACCTTTCAAGATGAAAAATATGCACACAACTACGAAATATAATCCAGAACATGTACATGCTTGAGACAACCAATCCGGTGTCCATATATTCCCATGTTCTTCACAAAGGATTGAACACAACCTATTAGGTGCCCATCTTCAATAAAAATCCGGATTGATTGGGCATCCCTGCCAAGATCCCCACTTGCAAAACCTTGATAAGCTATGTCAAAGAAGGGGGAATGATTTTTTTACCTAAAAAATAAGCAAGAGACTCAAGTTGACGATCAGGATATGCAGAAATGTCGGAGACTCACAGCTCTGGCATAATTAGCTTAAAGTGAAATGAAATTCCTCTCCACTTTTCCTCAGTAGAGAACCCCAGTTGGGTTGTGAGCGCAAGAGCGGATTATGAAAAATGAACAATCTGGGGCATTCTACAGACACAATAAACGGAAAAAACTAATGAAATTTGATACTTTTCCTCTCTCCACATTTTGCAAAGATTAATACGCAGCATATGTAGTATTCTTCCCAGCAAGTATACATATTCAGAAAGGAAAGAGCTGTTAGGAATGGCAAATGTCAGAGGTAAATTGATGATTAAACAAGAAGTCACGCAGAGATAGCCTGCTTATTGTTCATTGTTTCACGTGCCTCCTTGTCACTGAATGATACAGAGTGTTTCAGAATCATGACACATCTTTTGAATTACCAAAAACAGAATTATTCTAGCGACACAAATTCTAGTAGCTATGTGATGATGTCATTATTTCATGTTGGTTAGGGTCTTGGTTGCTTATATATCATAAGGACACCTCTCTCATTATGACTGGAAGTCATATGAAATAATATTTTATGGTGGGCTACCATACTGTGGATATGAACACATATTATTAGTTGGTGTCGTATGTGGAAACGAGTCATGTGCTCTATTCAAGTCCCTCGTCTCGGGGCTCCAATAATGCTATTATTCCATATCAGTTAGGAGACAAGGGTCTTGGTTGCTTATATGACATTAAAAACACTTTTTTTTATTATGAGATGTCTTTTAAGAAACAAAATCCACTAGAAGTCATGTGGTACAATACAGGGGCGGAGACAGGGGCCCCGGCCCCTGCAAGGAAATTTTTTTTCCAGCCTTCTTAGTATTCTTATAAAACACTGTATAAACAACATTTTGGCCCCTCTTGATTTTATATTTTGGATCCGCCCCTGGTACAATACCTCGTGGTGGACCTATCATACTCTGCGAATATGAACATACAACATCAGTTGGTGCCGTATATGAAAATGAGTCATGTATTATATGACACCAAGGACACCTCTCTCATTGCAAGGCGTCTTTTAAAGGACTAAACTCAATGGAAACCATGTGAGTGATAGGCATGCCATGCTACGGATATGTACACACATCATCACTATGCATTGCAAAAGATTGAATGTCAATGACAGAATGGAGCTCATTCACTATCCAATATAAACAATTGGGTTCATATACCTGAGAAATTACTGAAGATACCAAACAAACTTGCTAGGACCAAGTGGGATCAGGCAAATACATTGGAGATTTAGGACATCAATGCTTCTGGAACTCGGCAAAGAGACTACAATCACCAGTTCCTGACAGAAATTGAATTCCAGCAAATCTCCCTTCTTTTATAACATCCGAATTCTTTCCATTAACCGATTTGACACTACCGGAAACTAGTTTTGAACTCACTGCAGAGGATACCGACTCCCTGCCAGTACCTCTAAAAAGTTGAGGCCATAAAAGATTCAGTAGCAGAGAGGAGTTCGTTAAGGATAAAATTTGCTTTCAACAAATGGTTTTGGCAATTGAATGAATTTATTTGTAATATGCGGGAAGCATGACTAACCATTTCTCTGTAAACTTTGTCTAAAATATTTGAGCAGCAAGAATAAATCAAATCCACATTTTGTCTCTTCTTTTTACAATTAACAGTTTACTTATACAAACAGATTGAAATACAAAATTAGATCAATTCGATGGCACCATAATTACCATAAATAATTCCCATTTCAGAACAGCCATGATCTAGGGCATTAAAATGCTGAAATTGTCATTTTGAAGTTAGATATGTAATGACCCTAAAATGAACTGTTCATGCTAGAAACAAGGGCAACATTACAAAGAAACAGCAAATTATGAACTTCCAAATTACAGAGAAGCTCTGGACAAAAAGAAAATGTATGTTAAAAGCCAAGCTCTCTTCTTGCTAATTAGAGCTGGGGTTTCTAAAAGATATCATTGTAAGAAAACACATCAAACATATAGGTAGTATTCTGATGAATACCAAGAAATTACACTATTAAGTAAATTAAGAAAATGAAACTCACAAGAAGTCACAACCAGTAATCTTGGCCCCGGCCTCTCTAACACATTGAAGGATAACAGGTTTCCCTTCATCATCCCTACAAGCTCCCTAAAAATTGGAACATGAAGGTACTATTCACAACCCACCAAATTAAGACTATAGAAAACACCATCAATAAGGATTGGAAATAGAAAGATATACCACTCCAAGATTGATCTTCGTGGGACTAGTGTCAGCAATAAAAGCCTCAGTGACACTAGTAATGGGATTTTTTGGAGCAGAAGCTACATGATCCCATCATTTAAGTGCTCTGTTGCTTGTTGATATTGAGAAGCATCTTGATGTTATTGTCAAGAAAAACCTCCACATGATGATAAAATGATCTTCAGTCTCAGCTAACCCAAGAAACTCAAAATGTCCTTTGTATTCACCATGCATGGAGATGGAGTGGAGCTTAGGTGGGCTTTCATATTCCTCTTCCTTCGTTCGTCTCTCAGTTATCTAGCCACTGTTTTCCCGTGGGGTAATGCTAGTTGGTTCTCAAGCTAGCACCAAGACTTTTTACTAGTTTGCTCCTAATTTTTCCCACAGGGCAAACAGAAGGTGCATGACTTCGATGCCAGTCTTTATATATATTTTTTGTTAAAACACAAATCAGCATTCGCTCCAACTATATGTCTGTCTTCACAATTTCTTTTCAGCCCTTTTCCTTTCTGCTTCTTCCAAGAGAGAGTGCCGCAGTGGTGCACAGAGAAGCTGAAAGGCTTTCAAAGCTTTCTCTTGTACCTTTCGAAGTCCCATAACCTTTAATTAATTACTAATTAATCGGATTAGTGTTTCCCCCTCCACTGACAACCATGGGATTAGTCTATGGCCAGCTTCTCTCTAACCCCTCCATTTTTTCTTGGACGGTCTCTATGTATATTGATTTAGGAAGGAAAAAAACTTGTGCAGTAAATTAAAATCAAATCCATTATGATTTACACGCTTTCACCTGCTTCTTCACAAAGAAAAGTTGACATGAAAAAAGTCAATTGGATATTATAAACAAAGCACGCAGTTCCCAGGTATTTTGGTAGATAAAAAGAGTTAGTTATAGTACAAAATTGAAATGAATGTATTAATCATATTATTCACCATTACAGACGTTTAATTTCTCTCAAAGAAGAGGTAAAACCATGACTTGTTTAATTAAATAACAGCACATATTGCTCAAAAAATAATCAAAAAAAAATAACCAAACAACTAAACTAATATGGAAGAAAAATTCACTATGGCTATAAATATATTTTTCTATTCAACGCTACAATTAATTTTTTTTTATTCTCTAAAAAATCAAATGCCTTGGTTTTGAGAGTATTTCTATCTTTTTTATATTAGTTATTAAAGAATTGACTAGGATGTACATATATTTTTTAATTTTTTAAGCATAATAAAATCACATGATCACTCTTCAAATAATTTTTTTTAAAAATAACGCACATAGGTTTTTATATCCTTTTATTTTTTTTTAAATATAGTAAAATAACAAGTTTATTCTTTAAATTAAAAAAACTTAAATTGTGCATTAAAAAGTCTTTTAATTTTTTCACTCTGATTTTTCTATTATTACCAAGTTCACCAATACCAAGTTCTTAAGGGAGGCGTTCACACATTTCAAGTGGCTTAAGCGATGCCTTCTAATTAAAAAAATGTTTTTTTTTAATTGTGTCATTAGATATGTTAATGTATTATTTTTTTGTTGGTATGACATGTGTAAGTGATAGTAAAACAATTTATTATCAATAAGTTTTTTCTTTTTTCTTTCTTTCTTATCCTTTGAGTCATATGATTTGTTGTTGATATTTGAATTTTAGTCTTTATTTTTTTTGTTTTAAATATTTTTATTAAAATTTTATCTGTTTTCAATTTCATCATTCAATTATAATTTTTCATATGCTATTTTTTCTAATTTGGTCTTTATTTTTTTGATTTTTATTTGTTTTTTTGTTCCTTTCGTAAAATTTTTATTAGTTTTTAATTTCATCATTTAATATAAATTTATGGTATATCATTTATTTTCAATTTAATATTTAATCTTTTTATTTTTTTATCTTTTTATTAAAGTTATTTCTCTTTTCAATTTTATCATCTGTTAAAAAAATTATAGTTCTCATCTAATTTATTTTTTATTTTTTATTTTTATTCTTCTTCTATTAATTGCTATTTTTTTAAAATTTTGATCTTTTCTTATTTTGAATACTTTTTTGCTGTTGTATTTTTTTAATCCGTTAATGTTTGATTTGTTAAAAATTGAACTTTTATGATTTTTTTTTTACATATGATACTTCTCCCTTCGTCACTAGTTTGAAAAATTAACGGGGTGAGATCTTTGTATACATACAGTGATTTTTTTTTCATTCATTAGATATATATTATGCTAACTTGTGTTGACTTGTATTTATTATTTTATATTTAATTAACTATTATTTTTATTTATTTTCATTATTTTATATTAAAATAAAAAGAGATTATAACCCAGGTTGTTAAATTTTTTTATTTATTTAAAACGCACATGGGATATTTAAACATTGTTTTTTCAAAAAAAAAAAAATACAAACTCGCTGTATATCACGAGACGACGAATAGTTTTTTTCTATTTTGAAATCCAAAGTAGGAACATTTTAGTTCACCTTCCTACAATTCAAACGAACTTGCCCTCGCTTTCCAGTCAGTGGGATTATAT